ACAGAATAGTTTCACTGCCCTAAAAACCCTCTGTGCTCCCCATGCACCCCTTTCTCCCTCCCCCATCCCCCAGCAGCAACCACTGATCTTTTTACGTTTCCAGTTTTAAGCTTTCACCATGTCTTCATGGCCTTGTTTCTTTTTAATTATAGACATAACTATTTCCAAGCCTGATCTCAATCTCTTCCCCTCCAGGCTGTAATAGATGAATTTGAGCAGAAGCTTCGGGCCTGTCACACAAGAGGGTTGGATGCGATAGAGGAACTTGAGATTGGCCAAGGAGATAGCCAGAAAACCCCAGCAGCCAAGAAACAGTCCTCCGGTATGTGAGGCCGCCCCATGGGTGGAGAAACCAGCCCAGCCCTCCTCTCAGATAGAGGTTCTTTTTTTTTTTCTTTTACACTCATGCTTCTGCCTTTTCTAGTCTCTAGGCACCAGCATCTGGCTTCTGCAGCCTCAGACAATGACTTTGTCACACCTGAGCCCCGCCGCACTACCCGCACTGCTCGCACTGCCCGTTGGCAGCCAAACACCCAGCAGCGAGTTAGGAAGAAGAAACCCAAAATTGTCTTCTCGAGTGATGAGTCCAGCGAGGAAGGTATGGCAGGCCTAGGAGGGGCACAGCCTGGGGGGTGGGGACTGGTTTCCATGGGGTCCTGCTGTGTAGATTCTCCAACCTCTATCTCTCCCCCCTCCCCCCAGTCGTCTTCCTCCCTGTAGTTTGGACTTTATTCTGTAGTGTGGCTGGGCCTGTCCCATTTGTTCTCTGAGATCTATTGCTCACCACCTTTGTGACTCAGCTTTTTCTCGTTCCTCCAATTATTGGAATAGAGCTTTCAGCAGAGATGACGGAAGATGAGACTCCGAAGAAAACTACCCCCATCCGCCGAGCATCTACTCGCAAGCACCGGTCCTAGAGATTGGCTTGCCTGTTCTCTTCCCTGCTGTGTAGGGTATCTTGTGGGGTGACCTTGAATTCCGTTCCTCTTGTAAAATACTTGTTTGCCTGTCTCTTTGGACTTTTAATACATAAATCGTTTTTATATGTAAGGCATTTCTCTTAAGCCAGCCTAACTAAAGTGAGTTGAGCTGCTTTCACTAGAATGTTTGCCGGTCTCCTGTTTTGTAATGAATAAATGTTTTTATACTTTTAGACATTTTTCCTAAGCGTGTCTTTGTTTCATCTTTCACATTAGCCCAGATGCAGGCAGCAGGTAGTGTTATTGATCCAGAAAGAGAGATGAGCCCAGGGGTACGGGGCCCACCTCAAGGTCTGATAACTCATGCTCCTCAGTGCCTCCTCTTCCCTTCTCAGCCTCCCCACCTGCACAAGTGACGACATTGCTCCACTGTGCAGAGCGTGCAGTGTCCAGTCTCCAGCTCTGTGCTTCTTAACCTGAGGGTGATTTTTTGCCCTCTAGCAGGCATCTGGCAATGTGTGGAGACCTTTTTTGTTATCACCACCTAGAGGGGAGGGGTGCCATCAGCATCTAGTGGGCAGAGGCCAGGGGTGATGCTAAATACCCTACAATGTACAGGACAGACCTCACAAAGAATTGTTTGCTCCCAAATGTCAATCAATAGTGCTGAGCTTGAAAAACCCTACTCTAGGCCAAAGGTGGCTTCCTCTGTGTCCTGGCCCCACCCCCACTTGTGCTCCCTAGTCCTATCTAAAGACAGGTGCCCGGCCTGGCTGATGGAATGTCAGGTCACATCCCCTCCAGCTTAGACAATCTTGAAACAGTGTCTGTGTACCTGGAACTCCTCCCCATGGTACGGGGTCTGCAGGAAGTCAGCCCCTAGGGTGCAGATGCTGCTAGTGTGCAGCCACCTGAAGCCTGTCGCCCCTTCTACCTCCCCAATTATCTGCTGAGTCACCTGGAAATGGAGGCTGAGCTTGCTGTCATGACAACAGACTGTGTCAGTGGGCACTGAGGCACTGAGCTCCCTTTGTGTGTTTTTTAACAGGAGACAGTAATAAAAAATGGAGGCAGCGGGGAAGCCAGTACCTCGGACACATGCTTTGGGCAGTGCAGGAGCATGGAGGGCCTCCTAAAGCCCCTGTCAGGAAGGGTTGATGGGTCCTGGCAGAGCAGTAGCAGCTGCATCTCCACCGCCCGGCCCACTCTGCAGTGTGCGCTTCCCACCTCCTCTCAGCATTGGGTGCCCCCTGACCTGATCTGGTCATGAAAGCCTGGGCAC